TAAGACATTTAAACGAATATAAAGCTTTCCCTGGCCACATAACTCTTTCACGTGTTTATAATTCCATTCAAGAGATTTTCCTACAACGGGGGTAGTTACTTTGTTGCGCTCTCGCTTAACAAAGTCAAAATGATCTGGTCTTACGAAAGGGAATCGCTGCTTCAGTACCTCTGTTATGCTTTCTCTGATTTCGCTTTCCGACTGGCCTGTTCCCAGCTCAAAGTAACCTTTCAGTAGAATCATATCGTCGGTAACTGGGTAATCAGGGACAAAGCCATTTTCATCGAGATCTTCGGGCTTGTCGAGGAGATGAACAGCTTTTGGGTGTAACTCTTGTTTCATTTGTTTCTCCTGTTTACCTTTGAGGCGCCATGGATGATTTGTTGCAACTGCGGGCCTCTTTTTTCCCTTGTGAAAAGAAGACGAAGAAGAAGGAACCGGGGTGGCTGTGGCGGGAAAAGATGGAACGATGCCCGGGGCGATAGAATTTGTCATCTCTCGGCTCGCAGATCTTGCTGAACTTGCTATAAGGTCGCGCGTTCTCATTAATAACGAGGTATTACTTCCCGATCGTTGAAGAGCGATCTCATTTCGAACACATTCTCTCACAATTTGTGTCAGTTCTTCCCTAACATCACGCCCTGATTCGTCTTCCGACGCCATCTCTATTCATGGTTAATGGTCGGGGCACTGGGTCCGCAATACAGCGTATTTAACTGGGGTAGGGGCGGGGAATTTTGTTGAATGACGATATTTTGAATGTCCGGGAACTTTCGAACACTTAGTCATAATAGAAGGTATGTCATTAAATAATTATGCGTGGTAGAAGTTGAATAATTATTTTTGTTGGGTAAAAATTTTGGACTGAAGTTGAACAATTAATTTTGTTGAGTAAAATAAATATAGCTATTGAAGTTGAATAAATATTGTTGTTGAATAAAAATAATTTTGGTTGAATATGAAAAGAAAATGTGTGTCGTTGAACATAAATATGAAATGTTGAATATAACTGTAAACTGTTGAATAAAAATATATCTTGTTGAGCATAAATATTAGTTGTTGAATATAAATATGCAAGTTGTTGAATTTTGCAACATTTGGCTAACCATAATAAACAAATAGATAAAAATATATTCAATTTGATTAGGTTGACATTGATCATAAGTTACCTGAAAGTGTTGTTGTTAACGAGCTGAGCGCGCTGTTGGAAAAAGAATTTCAATAGCGAAATGCCTCTTGAGATGGATTAAATTCAGTGAATTTGACAAAAGAAAATGAAGGAAAAAGACTTGAGCGTACGTGGTTAAATTTCTAGAAAGCATAGAAATTCAAAGCAGAACATGGCGAAGACTGTAAAGAGTTGTCCATCATGGCAAGCCTCAAAATGATCCGAACTGTAGCCAATCCCAATCCGGTTTGATTCGCTTTTATCCCACTACGTTTTGTACATTTTCATAATACTCGCTCGTTGTTGGCTCCAGTTTAACTGAGCGCTTTTTTAAATTCTTGACATAACATGGTAATACACCATGTTCGTGTGCTTGAAATTTGATTTGATTTCTTTTCTTGTAGGGTTTCGTACAGAATTTATTACTTCTTCTTTCCACCAAAACACAAGTTTCTATCACTGGAGGAATATGCTTCAGAAGGGGCAGAGGAAACAAAAAGAGCTTTAGAAGATCTTAGAGAATATTGCAGAAGTCCTGACTGCGATACTTGGCGCGTGGTTAGTCGACTCAAACATCCAACTAGGTATGACGTGTACAGGGGCTTACTAAGTGTGTTGAGGACGACATAAGGATAAAATATGTGATATTGTATAATTATGTGGGTCTGTTTGCCGTGCTTTCTGTTTTTCGGTCTGTCTTTCTGTCTGTATCAATCACCGAGAGATATCGCAAGGATTCCATGGAAATGTAAGATAATTACGTTTAATTTGCCTTAAACTTGGGGGATTGCGCGTTTCAGTTGTGCATCTGATTAATTGAGACGGCAATGCGATGTTTATAGGCCAATGAGTCACACATGGTAGTAGGGTAAAACCAATGCCACTCCGGCATATTTGCGTCACTCTCTGAAAATTGCTGTTACGCAACGAAAAGCTGGATCAAGTAACGGTTGACGCCTCTAAAAGCACTTGGCATGATAGCGTATTCTACCTCAGTAGGAAAGCTTCTCTCGAAAGGGTTTTCAGCAAATCCTGACGTAAATGTCTAAGCTAGGCGTCGTAATAAGAAGACAACAGAAAGATTTAGCATCGCGTTTATAGGGCTCGACACTAACTTTTCAACCTACTAGCCAAGTGGCTAGTGACACCTTAGATGTTACGACAATTTCAGTTTGTTTACCATCCAAACTGGGTAGTGGAAATTGAAAACCACTAAACAAAACTGAATTTCTACTAGTTTGTGGCTAGTTGGCTGCCGTTAGTGTCGAGCCCTGGTTTAAGTGAAACGTGAGCGGTAAGACTGACCACGTGACCTTGTTTTTCCCGCTATTTTTTTTTCACGTTTGCTGGTTGCGCTTTGCCGTTTCTTCGTGAAAGAAATCTGTTTCGCGTTTGCCGTGTACATAAGATTTTCTTTGTTTTTTTTCTCTCAGAGTGGAGGATAATTGCCAGAAAAAGGGCACCAAAACTATTCCCTGTAAGTCATACAAGGTCGCCTTCAAATCCGCCATGACGTGAGCCCACGCGAAGCTAAAGCAGCAAGGTTCACGCTATTTTACGTGAAACGTGAAACGTGAAAGGGCAAGCTGACGTTTGCCGTTTCACGTAAACGAGGTGCTAAATCTCTTTAGTAACTTTTCAGCCTCCGTTATCTTCGGCAAGGTCGACTGTGGATTTGAAAATGCGATGTGGCTAAAATTCAAACCGGATATCGATGGCGAAAATCTGTCTTCTTGAGTCCGGCTTATTGCTTCAAGATGATCACTGTCTGGAAATTCACGTTAATAACTTGCTCGTCATGTTTTAGATTTGCCTCATTCGTGGCAACCGGACAGCATATTTCAGACGAAGAAGTCAAGAAATACGAGGAGGATCCATCGGCATGGATGACATCCGACAGCGATGGAAGTGACAGTGAACCTAATGACCATATTGATTAGCACTCGTCACCGTTTAACGCCAAGAAGCAGCACCGGGCCTCCACGTCCTGGACTCATTTTCCATAAAAGGATGGTGTCAACGAGTTATCGTCTGCGTAAGGTCCTTTTGGCATTAGAGCTGTCGGCATGCAATTGCCAATTTGGAGGTACCCGGTCTGGGCGGAGACTGTTACCTTTTGTGGTAGAACTAGGGGACTGTATGCATGTTGCTGGCACCTCTCAATTGTACACTGTTTGTCAATGGACATGCTAGATTCGTGGCATTCTGTGGAGTTGAGACGTACGGAGAGGACTGGAAGGGGTAGGAATAAAGTTATCCGCAAGGTTTGAGACAAATGCTTTTAAACGTTGTCAAACGAAGCAAAATTTCTTTGACATTTTTATTGCAATAATTTAGCGTTAGCAGAAATTTCACCATGTACAAGCTGGTCTTGATCACCGAGTGTACATAGTTAACAAGTTGATCTATTTTTTATTTCCACTTTCCTCATATTCGACGTTCGGATGTTTGCATGCATAGCTCATTCAGTGTGATGTTTGATGGGTATAAGATTGATGAAAGTCTTTCGGAGTTATGTTTCAGAGTTGAGTTCGTACAAAAATATATTTAGCCACGGATTGCCAAAATGGGAATTTGTTTTATTTAGGAATGGATACAGATCTACACACCTGTCTCACGGAAATTTGCGTAGAACTTTGAAATGTACTTTGCATTTGCTTTTCACTTACGATCACTTCCAAGAACTATGAGCTGCCAAAATTTAGGCCAGTAAACAAATGTCGAAATATATGCGCTAAATTTCTTCTAAAATGACTTGGCGATAACATGCTCACATTACCTTACTTAGTTTAGTTCATTTTAATCTCATTTGTTAGTGCCCTTTTATCAATAAAGTTAAATTTCACATACGAGCTTTTTCATCTCTATTCATTTCGGCAAAATGTTTTTATTACTGCTACATCACTACTAAACTTCTGCTACACTACTGCATGATGGGACCGTTTGAACTTTCAGCACCGTCGTCATGAGTTATGCTCTTTAAGTTTTGCGTCATGTAGAGTGTCAAAGTGGATTTCCTTCAGACTTCGGTTTAGCTTTTGAATTTCAAAATCTGGGCTGTGATTCTCCCTTACAGACCCTGTCCTTTTTTCTGTAAATTAGTGTAGAGAACTTAATGTTAAATCAAGATGATGTTCTATCGTTGATGGTTTGGTCTATTTTCATCGCCAGCTTTCTGGATGATGCGTAGATGTTTTAGGATTAGCTAAATCTAAATCAACGTAGGGAGATGGATAGTTTAAGATAAAGCGAATGCGGAATACTGGACTTTCGACTGTTCTTTACCGTTGAAATCCTAGAAGGGAAGTTCATTGCTAACCTCGCGAAACAGCCAATGATAGTGTTATCGTGAAACAAGTTATAGGGCAATAATATTTGCCAAAGGAAGATCTAACATCCAATGATGGCCGAGGTTGAGAGTTAATCTCACTGCACTAACTCTGCTTCACTGGGAAAGCATTAAACAGTTCTGTGTGGAAATGTTACGTTCACCATTATGTGTAGATGTTGACCAACTCACACGCCCTTCATTGGAGACACAATGGAGACTTAAGACGAAGGACTGGATTGAAGCGTTTCCACTTAAACAGTTCCCATAGTAGTGAAGCAATGTGATCATTGCCATAGTGTGCGAGTTTTCGTAACATTAACACATTTTCGTTCCACCCCGGATGACCCATTGTCTTTGATTGGCGCTAGTGATTGTTGCATGACGCATAGCCTTAAAAATCTTCAGTTTAGAGACGGTCTAATAACTACACTACATCATGACTTTGGATTTTTAACGCTTCATTAAGGAGCACTTGAACCTGAAAGCTGGATCAACTGTGGCAAGGCTGTTTTTCTTGCTCTTTTTGTATTGCTGCAAATTAAACAATTCAACCTCTTTTACTTTTCTGGTAAATGTCTGCTGTTTACTTGTGTTTTGCTGATTCATCCTCGACAAGAGTACAAGTGTATTACTCGGGTAAAAGGAACACGAACAGTCATTAGAATGTGTGAAATTGTTTACTTGGGTCACCTGCTACTGGTGTTTAGTCAAACATGGGCGATTCTCCTCCAGCTGGGGAGCGATTAAGGAATTTTTTTTTTACAAGGGATTTTGCGTTTGTTTACTGTCGTGTTTGTTGATCTCGTACATCAGCTGTCATTTTGTCAACGAGCTCACTTAATAGAATGATGGCCAGACGGTTCACGCAGAAGTTGACAAAATTCAGTTAGCGTATTACTTTTCGGATATCTATAGCGAACAGCACTTCCTAGAAACTCCATTTGAGCAACTTTGTGATATCATTTGTATTTTCTGGTAATGTGAAGCTTTATTCATGAGGGTATCCATTTGAAATCCGCATCATGGCTCACTAAGCTATGAAGCACCAGCGATATCACTCATCGTTTATGCATTTCAATATTTTGAAAGCCATTCCTACAGCACCAGTAACTTAAAAACCAAAATAAACTTTCAAAGAAGCATCAAAGCGAACTAAAACCATAAGGAACGGACAAAAATGCCCATATATCATGGTTGTTAGGTCTCTAAAAGAAGGTATTCACTCGAGTGTACTCGGGTCAACCCTAGCTGCGTTCGAAGTTTAAGTTAGTGTGGCTGACTCTCTTGTCTTAAAACAATTGGGCACCAGTTAGATATTTGCTTTAAAGTTTTGGCAACACTGGTTTTGACACTGGTCAATAATGCTGTTATATTACCGGTATATTTTTATAAGAAGCAAGAGCCGAGAAAAGATTCCTATGAAGCGAAGCGTGAACACAATGGCTGCCACGATCCCCGCATTGGACAATAGAGTTACCATGAATTATTTACCGGTGCCTCTCATAAAACTCCTTGATGAACAATAGCGGCCGCATATAGCGGAAACGTTTCGACTGTTAAGGTGAGAGGAAGCTCAAAGTACTTGATAGCTACCCTTTTTGATTTTGACCCAATAGAGATAACTTTTCTTGTCGACTACTCAGCCAAAATATCCAAAGGTATAATGTTGGAATTTGTTCTTTTTCAGGCTTAGCCATGGATTATAGGCTGGTCTTCTGTTCCCTTTTATTTGTCATCGTCTCAGTGTCTGCCAAGGCAACACGTCGAGGAAGTAAGTTGGAATTCTTAATCTCTGGGAATAAATGATTGAGATATCAGGGCACGACTATATCCTAAGATCATTTTTATAGGGGAGGTTCCTCTACCAGGAAACATTTGACGTTTATAGGAAGCAGCTCTTGACCAAACAACTGTTTGATAAGATGGAAAATGTTAGAAATTTGAGTGGCAACTTTCTTGATGACTTTGATCATGATTTAAGGCCACGGTACATGGGTTGAAGATTAATTTATTTCTTTCGAATTTAAGTCAATCTCTATTGTAAAGTAATTTGAGAGTAAAAAGGAAAGATACCTACTTGTAAGCTGCTTTTGGTCAAGAAGTAATTTTATCAGGTCGCAAAATTCGAATAGAACAGCGCAGTCGCTTGCCACAACTCACAGTGTCTAGAAAGAACAGAATTAAAATACTTATTACGAACATGTTCATTTAGCCGGCCTTAAATTTCGGTTAAAATTTCTTGAACAATCAAAATTCATGACTTAAACGTTTTGATGCCATAGCAGGGATGAAATTGATGATATCTTTAAGAAAATGCATTTTCATTTGATGATTGTTGAAATTTGACTGTCAAAATTTGAACCTTTTTTTAAGCTTTTACATGTCATAATGATCTTCCTAATTCCAAGTGTCTTCTTCAAAGTTTGTTGTAATCTCCGTTAGTAATGAAATATTTATCGCGAAAAGCTGATCCGAAAATTTCTCAGTCCAATCCTTCCTGTTCTTCAGGTGTTTAAATTTTTATTTACCTCATTCTTCAATTAAAAATATTTAAGGGGACTTCTCGTCCACAATTTTCATCTTATTTTTCTCTGTACGTCTTGATTGAAGTTTTATTTTCAAAGAAGTCTCGAATATGTGTTTTTTTTTTATGTCAAAATGCCCTATAGGAATATAATTCTGTGAATGCAAATCTATTATTTGAATTTTATCTCAGAATCTAGCGCTTATGGCACTAGGAAAAAAAATGAAACAATCTTTTTACTTCGCAGTTCTATCAAAATAAACCTGTTTCGAGTTATTAACAATTCATGCTGTGTTAAGAAATGCTCTCCCATCCGTTACACAGGTAGCTCCATATTCCACGCCGTAACCTAGACAATCTTTCCTTTCAGACAAAAATTAAAATAGGAAGGGAAAAATGAGTACTGTTCTTTTGGCCAGTACAGAATTTTGCAGAGTAACCTTTAAGATGATTGCGAATTTATCCTCCGCAACCAGAATCACTGCCGTATCTCATTGCAGGAGGTCTTACCTCGTCAACCCGCTCCAGTTGATATTTTAAATATTTTTGGCACCTGTTTTTCTCTCTTATCAATATTGCTTGGATCTTAAACTCTAATATAGTGTAAGGAAACGTTATGGCCTTACGGCCTTGGAAAATTGTAATTCTTATTACTTTTCACGCCGATACCAGCTTTTCTTATTATAAGTCATCCATTGCGAAATATCGTTTGTATTATCTAAGAGATGAGTATTTCCTGTGACGTGCCTTTCATGTTATCTATGGATTGCTAATTTTTGAAAGTTCATCGAGGTAAAGGCTTCGTGCCCTCCATGTCAATTATAGAACTTGTCAATAATCTTACTGTACCGCTAAGACCTTGATCAGGATTTTTTAAAAGCTTAACATTTGTCCTTTTCATTTGTAGGTATATTCAAAAGAAGTCCGAACCCATGTCCTCCTGGTTGTCCGGGATCATGCGCCCCATCATGCACTGCGGTATGTTGTGCACCTCCACCCCCACCCCCACTTCCACCTCTTCCACCACCACCTCCTCCCCCACCACCACCACCACCCGGTCCCCCTGGCCCTGATGGTCCAATGGGAATGGCTGGACCACCTGGCCCCGATGGCCCTAAAGGACCCCCAGGACCTCCCGGACTTCCAGGACCACCTGGTCTCCCAGGTCTTCCAGGTGCCCCATCTGGTCCTCCAGGACGTGACGGCCCCATGGGACCTCCAGGGCCTTCTGGACATCAAGTACGTTTGCCACTGTGATATAACTTGATCTGTGTCCGTGTGGTGTTTCACGATACATTGTGATCGTACTAAAAAACGTTGAACATTATGAAGTTCAATACAACCCTGTGAAGCGCTGGGAAATAGTTTTTTAAAATAACTCTCATTCTACCATTATGTATCTGATCGGCTAGATAGATTGACATGTTTTACGGCTTGAAAGTTGCAGACTTTGTAGTTTTCCCTTCCCATGGCACATTTGGCGAGTCAATTTTTCAGCATTTGATCCGGTGCCAGGAACACGTGATGATTGTATCGCGCTTGTGTCCGTCGCTCACTTCATGCGTTTTCTCTTCTCCAGGGACCACCCGGTGATCTTGGCCCCATGGGACCCCCAGGAGCCCCAGGACTACCGGGACCCCCAGCTCCTCCTGGTGGTATGCCTCCTTGCCCACCTGTCTGCGTCCATACTTGTATCAAGGCTTGTGCTCCGCAATGTTGCCACGGCCGAAAGAAGAGATCTCACCTCCTGGAATAGAAACAACAAAAGCAGCAATGACAGCAGCTATTTTTATACTTCTGGTTCGACGAGTGATTCGAGTTTTTATCACACCGCTGAGCGAATAATAATTAGTGATAGTCCTTAATTGTTGTCTTTTCCCCCTGTAGAAATTAGATGATTACTTTCATGTTTGTTTTATGTTATATATTTATAGTAAAACCTCAGCTCGCTTAGTTTTTGTTGTTTTCCTTTTGACATAAAAAAACCATGTATCTTTTCGGGTGGAAAGGAGTAACGTAATTTTCAACGATTCGTATGTTCCTTCGATGGAGCTTGATGTTACTGAGAAAGTAGGCGTGTCGAGTGAAGGATTTATTTGAAATGTGTAATAAAATTATCTCTCTTAGTACATTCTTGGTTTCTTTCTTTGGATTTCCTTTTAATTGCTTTAAAATTGAGGTTTAACGTTACCAAAAACTAAGAAATTGAATCGTATTGTCCTCATCACGTTTACCGACAGAAAAAAATATATACCAGAAAAATTATATATACCAGAAAAATTATATATACCAGAAAAAAAATTGAATAATATAATCTTTCGTCCCATTTTTCCACAGTTGTCAAGTATATTTTCGAATCGTCTATAGAGAGGTGAAACACATTTTTCCAGACCACAAAGCTCTAATTTTCTAGCGTTACTAATACTAATAAATTTTCTGTTACTTAAATCAATTCCAGTAATGTTTTCGTAAAAGGAAATCTTTCATCGGAAGAAGGGTAAGAGATCAAATAAACTACTCTAACTAATAAGGAATGGCAATAGAGAAATGCATGATATGTGAGTCTTATTTCATTATATATCTTTAGCGCGAAAGTCGCGTTAGTTTTTTTCATAAAGTGTGTCTGAAGGTCACCGTATTCTTATCTACGGTTTATGCATAATGGACTGCGATCAAACTTTTGTAAAATAGCTTCGTGGTTTCACTAGATGTCGTGTTTGGATTCGAAACTCGGTGTAAGCTGTTCCAAGGCGGTGTTTTGAAGTCATGGGCGAACGAGAAGTTTTGTCCTAGGGTCTTCTCGTCCTAATTATTTCTATGTATAATCGCAGCAAACAGATTAACATCAGATGATAAAAGTAATTTAAGGTGAAGGTTAAAAACCAGCCTGCTACATTTCGTTTTCTCTTTGCCAACGTTAATCATAAACTAATTTGGATGTATCAACAAAGTTGAAATGGTAAATTGGCCACCGTAACGATTACAAAAGCTGACGTTTCGAGCGTTAGCCCTTCGTCGGAGCGAAGCCCTTCGTCGGAGCGAAGCCCTTCGTCCGACGAAGGGCTAACGCTCGAAACGTCAGCTTTTGTAATCGTTACGGTGGCCAATTTACCATTTCAACTTTGTTGATATATCCAAATTATTTCGTTACTCCCACCGACGCAGCCCCAAACAGTTTCTTTCGAAACTATCAGCCTTTAATCATAAACTGTCTGACAAAGCTCTTGGAGGAATCTCTTGTATCGAGACTCTCATGATAGGTTTAGTTGGGATTTACCCGTGAGTATCAAATCGCCACTCGACATTTACGGGTCAAATACGTTATATTTCTCAATATGATTTAAAAGAAATCAAGAACTTTCTTGATTACGTGCAGTCAATATCATCTTACCGGCAATTATCTGCGCAACTTTGACTTGTCACTCGTTAAACTAATAATCCCACATATCTCAACGGAAAGGAAAACGGCTTGGAATTTGATAATGAGCTTAGAATAAATGTTTGCCGTTGCCTATTTTTCTAGGTTAGCGGATTTCCTCGTTTAATGTTTTACACGAACAGTGTCCCTCGCATATAAGCTTTCAATATTGTGAGAGCTTTCAAGTGGAATATGGGGGGCGCTGAAAATCTGCACGTGTTCGTCACTGAATTGAGAAGTTGACAGTAAAACATCGGCGCCAACAGACGGGATGGAGTATGCTTTGTGAGTTTCTTTTATAAAGTGTTCCTCCAGTTTTATTATGAAACTGGTTGTACTCACGTATATCATGAACTACTGCAATGCACTGAAGAGAAGTTTTTTGTACATTTTACGAATGTTGTCTTAATCAAGATGTTAAACTGGATATCCTTTGTAATTCTCTCAAACTTGAACTTCTGTTTCGTCTACCTTCTGCTAGGTACCTTTCATTGTACTTTGTATAACTTTCATACAACCTGCGTGGTTCACAAAACTGTTGCCTAGTGTATTTAGAATTTCGAGATGTTATTTCCGTGATCTTTAAACTAAGGCGTCAGTAATCTTATTCAGTTGAACTGGATGTTTGTTCACTGGGTGCTCTCAAGTAGCACTCAGTCTTTAATCATTCTTGGGTCGTACAAAGTTCAGAGATGAACTGATATTAGAAGCAAGACCCCCATATTACAATCAATCGCATCAGCTTTTAACGGAACTTTGGACTCCTTTTCTTTCTTTTTTCTTTTTTTTTTAACAAAGGATAGAACTGATTACCAGTTGACTTGAGGTTTGTATCGGCTTTATTGATGCAATTGACCAATGTTATTCTCTCAGGAGCTTGCCCATAATACCCTTGCCAATTTTCTCCCTTGCTAGAAACTTCCCACTGAGACCTCATCAAAGTGTAATAAATTTCTCTTCGGAAATTTTCAATCGTTGCACAGTAAACGTGCGAGACACTGTCCTGGTTAAGCTATTTGGCATATTACAGAACCTTTCTGCTCTTGGTGTGCGAGAAGTATTTATGCCGGTGTGCGAGAAGTCTTTACGCCGATGAACTAAATGCTCACAAGGTTAACTTAGCTTCGTAGTGCCAGTTGAGGGAAGTTGTCATCGATGTTAGGTGGCAAACATTGGACACCATTCCTAAGGTCTGATTTTCTTTCGCAATACAATTGAACACAGATAAATCTAGACAATATTATTTTCATTTAAAGCAAATTATATCGTGGGAAGGTGCTGAGGTGGAGTTGTTGAACTTGAGTGATCAAAATTCTTAAAACAAGTTCTCTGAAAAACACCGTTTTTACTAAAATAGGTTGCATTAACCTGCGTTTCTGTTTTACCACCCATAAAGCGTAAAATAATGTCTTTTGGACTCAACTGCAGTGAAACTACAGGCTAAGAACACTATCCATGTTAAAAAGTTTACGTAACAAGTCATATACGATGAATATCACAGTTCAAAATATATGAAGTTCATATATTTTGAACTGCGGTGCAATATATTGTTACTGCAGTTACTGCAGTAACAATATATTGTTACTGCAGTTCTACTTCAATTGTTACTGCAGTTCATATATTGTTAACTGCGGTTAACAAGTCATGCTGGTGGAAAATGAAGCTGGATAGACTTTTAACGTAAGTAAATCCATCCTTTTTGATTGCTCATCTTGTTTAATATCAATAAATGTTCTGCTGTAAATGTAGAGATCGTTAGTCGATTTGGAACATTACCTTTGCTTGTGGGATCACAATTATAAGATGCAAGAAAAAGCTTTTTGGCTAAAGCAAGGGTATATCTTATTAGAAATGGCAGGTTCATGAATTTTACTTTAATGTAAACCCGGCCTATGTTGGACATGAGAAGTGATATAGGTGTTCTGGGACTTGTGGTACATGTTGACGGATTTTAAAGAAGGCCTTGTACACAGGCATGAAGAAAAAGTGCCATCTATGCCGCAACTCATTTCATCTATTGATGATCGAGTTGCCTTAGAACTGAAGTCCCAGGGAACCACACTTTTCCTCATGGAAAGCAGCGTTCTTAAGCAATTTGTGTCCTCAGTTGGAGGAGGTCAAAGTCTAATTGTTAAAAAGAAATATCTATGGACTGATGAGTTTGGCGTCTATGATTTGTTTTCTGAGATATAAGTGCTGATAAGCGATGTGTTTCATGCATCATGCGCAAAGAAAGAAAACCTCTTCGACGAATTAGAGCACTGCTTATAATCCTGCTATGATATCGAGAAACGATGTGAAATTTGTATCCCTCAAATGAAAAATAAGTTAAATTTTGAAGATCTATAGTTAATCGAAATTCCAAGATAAAAGACAGCTTTGTGTAGAATTTGCAATTCCCGTGAATTTCTTTAAGAGAGTTCAAATTTTTCGCCTCCAGGTTATGGCGCTTCTTACACTTTGTCATTTTCTCTCAGTTCATTGGAATATTAAATCATTTGGTCGTGGGGCTATGTCAAATTCGTGTAAGAGATCTCAGGATACGATATGGCTGAATCCAATGTACGTTCACAGTCATGTAAAAACAAATATTTTGCACTCAGTGCTCCTCTCGGGGTATCTAAATTGCTCCCCCGGCAAAAGTAACTGGATTTGGAGTTGATCTTTTATTCAACCAAAGACATTTGTCTTCCCTTATGGCAAGGTTACCTAAAGGGTTCTCGTAATTTCTGTCCCTATTATGGCTCGTGATGCTAAGTGAGATGATGTTTTTACGATGTACATGTACCCATCTTTTACAAAGGGTTCCTCAATCTAGATCTGTGATGTAGTGAAGCTATCTCTTGTCGTCGAAAAGCCATGCAGCAAACAAATAACTACCGATGATAGATGGATTCTAAAGGCTATCTACTGATTCATGTCGTTTCCGAGGACACCTATTCCAAGAGGTTTACTCACAGGGTAAGGCTTAAACATGTAATGGCCATGTTTTTTTTTTTAATAAGTCTCCTGTTCACACATCTTTATCTAACTCACACCATGACATTCAGTGTTTCGTTTGGTATAATCAAATCGTAAACGTAGTCATAAAGTTAGAAGGGAGAGCCCTTGCTAAATGGTCTTTTCTTTACATTCTGTGATATTTTTTGTTCGCTTTGATCGGCATTGTGGAGAGCTGTGTCTTTAATTACTTCGTTGAGGTAATATTCTATTAACACATGATGACTTTTTGTCTCAATGTCAAACCGATTTCCAAAGGACTTTGCCCTCTGGCACAGCAAATTTAGTTTTCTTCTTTTAAACCTTAAACCTCAAATGGTTAATCTTCCTCGATTTATTAATTTGTGCAAAAAGTAAAGTGGTGGGAAATTATCTTTTTAGTAACAAATTCCAAATTTGTTTTTGGCAACATCCTGTCACCTTTGTTGACGTAGAATTATCAAAGCATTCTTTTGTGTCGAGACCTCGGAAACAGGGTGCATTCTCTGGATCATAATCTCACAGACAAAGAACATTCCGTCTAAAAACATAGGTATGAATTGTCCTTGCAGAGCTAAAACTAAATTGAGACTGGACCAATGCCAAGTAATATTTGTGATTCTTTTAGTATGCATTATATCAGTCGCCACAAAGCTTTAAGCCCGAAGCACCGGAACCCATTTAAAACAGTCAGTCTTTGGGATCAGATGACAGCTTCGTAAGATCAGGGGTGAAATTTAATGAGGGAAGAAGTTGATTATATCATCATCACTTTGAAAACACTTCTAACGCGCACATCGCTAATTATTTTAGGACTTTTTATTGTTAAAACAAATTTGTTATTTAGATATACCATTAACGATACTGATTTCTCTAGAATTAAGAATTTCCAAGAATAATCCTAATAAAGATCCGGAAATATGAAAGCCTGCTATAAAAGAAGGAGATTGGAGCTCGGTGAGCTATTGATTTCAAGGGATCGTTTTTGCCAAGTAGTTGACATATTTACTATTGAGTGCCAATGACAACTTTCCCTTGATTTGGAGAGCCCATCAATTTACTACTGATGTTTCCACAACTTTGCTCAGCAAAGCTTTTCTTTGGTCGCCGCCTAAAGACATACGTTCGTTGGTTAATAGCTTCGCTGTACAGTATTCGCCAAGTCAAAAATAATTTGTTTTTCCTCTAGTTTACGGCTCTAGTGAAGGAAGTAGTCTCCTGGATAATTCGAATGGCAGCCTCGTACCCATTAAGCAATATCCACTAGGTCTTGCGAAAGTACTACCTTACATTGTACCGGAAAGTAGTGGTATTAGCATTCTTGTTTTTTTCTCATTGAAATCCCTCTTCTAGTGCCTTGTCATTTTTCTATTTTACGCTTTTTAGGATTTCATTTTTGTTGCTCGTTCCTAAACTTATTATTTTAAGAAACCTCTTTTCCATTCTGAAGTCATGCATGTAAAGAGGTAACTCGGGGCTGAAAAAACTAGAGACGGTTTGCTGCCAGGGTGTTTACGCGCTGTTGGATTCATGACGATTTCCTCGGTTTTTATGATAGTTTTGGTAAGAAATATGACATAGCTGGAAATCATGAACTCAATCATAAGACTGGGAGTATTCCCTCCCTCCTAGGGCGCGTTTAGTTCAAGTTTCGTAGAACAAAAACCAGACTAATAATTGCAAATAGAACAAAGTGCTTATCAGACGACCCAACAAGGACTCGATGTTGGCAAACAAATTACTTTTACAACTGGGAAATCACGAGTGAACCAGTCGCGATTGGTGTCGGATTTGTGTTTGAATGGACTTGAGAAAGAAGCGAGTTTCGTACTGCTGTCAGAGAGCAAATTAAAGCAATCAAAAAGCAATACCAAACAAATTAAGGATTACTTTCGGTTTCGATTTAAAAGTAAAGTTTTTCTGTCGATAAAGTACCCTTAAATTACAACCCATGTCAGAAAATCTTTGCCACAGCACTGCAAGAGGATCTTTCATGCATGGTGCGAAGGAACTCACAAAGAAGTAAATACATTCTTCCTAAAACATTACATTTTCCGTAAACAAAGAAATAAAAATTATAGTGAATGTATTTTCTAGGTTAGAGTAGATGAAAGAAGTTTTTGAAAACAAAACAAAACAGAACCAAACAAAACAGAACGAGACAAAACAAAACAAAACGATAAAAGAGGCACTGAAAAAACAAACTAACTACACACTATCCTAGAAAATTTCATTAGTCTCGTTATTGATAACAGCAATTCTCTTTCTATTAATATGTATTTCTTAAGCAGACGTTTCACTAGGCTGCCTAACGTTGCTTCCTCATCAATTTGAACCTTACAAAATGTCCAGTCAGCAAAAGTATATCGACAATTTAACTCCAGAACTTTCTTGTGTTGTAGAAACTGTTTCTTTTGTTGATACGTAACTAAAGATTCCTTATAAGAAAAGTCTTATAACATACATTCAGGCAATTTTTATATTCTTATTAGTATTGTCAAAAAAAAGAAAGCAAATTTATATTTTCACTTGGTATGGTATGACCCATGCCGTGTTATATGAAAATAATTTTGATCTTGCATGGAGGACCAGCCTAAATATTATAGGAAATTTAACGAGCTGTGAAATTGTTCCTATGTCAAATTTGAAAATACACAATTTGAACTCACGAAATTGGTCGTACCTGATATCCCAAGTGAATTTTCTTGACCCAATTTGTCAGTCTGGTCAAAATTGGAGAGCGTCCTTTCCACCGTAAATTTGCCTGATAGAGATTGCTGAAGCAGGTTAACATAGTATTTATAAAGAATCTTAACCGGCTTCAAGGTGAGAAACAATGAACTTCTTTCCCACCTGTTTCAACCCAGTTGGTTGTTCATTTAAAATTACTTTCTTCAACAGCCGTGAAAATCCGATGAACTATGTTATGTAGACACTTGCTTCGTGGTTATTTACAAAACAAAATGAAAATAAAATACTTATGTGTAAAAAAATTTAAAGGCTTACCTCCAAGATCTTGGTGTGAATTCAGAGTTTTATAGAAAAGAGAAAAAATAATCTTATTCATGTTTCGACTTTTTTCGTCGATGGGACTCTGCGGCGTTAAGGAATGTAGAAAATTTATTGTCTATGTTTAGCAAACAAAGCCTGACAACTTTGACCAATTAAATGACAGAAACGTGGCCACCAAGTGAAAGTATTTGGTGACACATTTTTTTTTTTTTGACAGGTCGTTCATGAGACCTGTTTGGGAAGGTTAAAACCACAGCAAATTCTATTACTTTTTATTTTCTTAATGTTTCTTCTGCTTGCTGCTAAGCTCGACTGATCTTGTTCATTTAGAAGATCAGATGAAGTTAAGCTTTATCCAAGAATTACAATTCTTATCCTTTTTCGGGCAGTGGTTGATTTACTCTTTGCAATGTCAATAATTTTTGTCTGTAAGGCTATTATTAAAGATCATGGAATGCTCCTAACAGTTCATTTTCAACGCACCAAATTGACTCATAACTTATAATTTACTTTTGCACCAATTTTTATTTTAGCACTGAAATCAAGAATCGAACTTTTCCGAGCTAGAGCTAGAGAAGACCGCAATGCTTCTACCAAGAAGTTAGCTTCAGACAGGTACCAGCCCCTTAAAATAAAAGGATTTCACGGTCCAATTGAAATATTGCTCGCTTTGTGGGTCCCATTCATGGCCCAAAAATGTGAATCATGTTTTATTAGACTTTTTCAGTTGAGATCTTTATTTTTCGTTTTAACCTCCCTGATGCTAGTGCATCTCTTGTAAAATATTTTCGCTCCTCTAGTGAAAGATTTTCCATTGCCTAATTGTGTTTAATTTATTTTCAATACCTTTGCCCTCTTGTCAAAAGAATTTCGTCTTTGTAGAGCTACCACCAGCAATGCCTGCCATCTCTTAGAGATGTAACCTGCTTTTTCGACAATAGATTTACCCCGACCATTTTATGAATGACGCAATATCGGTTAAAATGTCAACGCACCTAGAAAGCCGCAATATATAGCGGCTCGAGCACAGCTTCGTAAGTATGGGGGAAAAAAAAGCAATGAACCAGCTTTTGCAGTGACAATGCCTTTAATGACATCTTAATTCGACTTTTGATCAGACGATGTTGAAGAATTGTTGATCACTTTTGAAGCTCTACCAGCCGAATCTAGCTCCTGAAGCGTTAAGAGACCAGATGAACCGAAAGAAAGTAATCAATTATTCAGCATCGTAGGGACGTTTAAGGGCCAGGAGTTGAAAGACGCGAACCATTATTCGCCGACGACTTTGCATCTGCAAAGGTAAGGATGAGGGTATTCTGCCTGTAAAATAATTTTCAGTTGTTTTTTTTTTTTTACGTCTACAGTCTTATAAAGACTTGTTTATCTCTTTATTAATTAGTTTCTTGAAAATTTTTGTTTTCCATTTACTTTATTTTGTAAATTTCTGCCTAAATAGAGAGTGCGTGTTTTGATTTAAACGTAAATATTTCGTATTTGCAGTTATAAGAAAATTTTGTCAGCTTAGTTTACCTAAACTTAGCCAAAATAACCGTTGAAATATCCCATAGTTAATCTAGGGTTAAGCTGAATTAAGATGTATTGGTTTTATAAACACTGGACTATGTTTTCTTTTGATTTTATTAATTTCAAGTATAGCATAAATTAGGCTCTTTGTTAATTTTGAAAATACTACGATAAGGGTACGTCCACTAAGACGACAAAAAAAAAAAAAGTGGACCCTTCGGTTTCTTTCAACAGATGAAGAATTCTGAGTAAATACATCTTGGTCACCTTCGATATCGAAAACGTAATCAATCGAAATAAATTTCATATTGCACAGAAAGATTTTTTCAAAGTCTGGACTGTGGATAATAACGACATAAAAACAATAGCCTTCTTGCTTTTTGATGTTCTAAACTGCCAATTAACCTCAGAAAAATTGTTTTAAATTTCATTTGCGCAATCTATATGTATCCTAATTTACGTTGCACATCTTTGATGTAAAGTCATTGGTATCTTTTTAGTTTTTCACTCAGTTTTTTCATAACATGCCTTCATTTAAATTCGTTGATTGTCTTTGTTTCTGTCACGATAACTTTTATCAAATTCTGAATCGTTTTTATTTTTTCATGCAATGAAACGTTTTCAATAACTTTGGAATCAATTCTTCAAAACAATCTTCCTTCGGGTGGACGCCCTCAGCCTTCACATCCTTTTCCGTACGTTTAAAAACGTGATAATAATTAGTGCTTAAATGAAAAGCACTGTGCTAAATGTTGGATATCGCTTAAAATATGAAATTAATATGCCAAGCCCCTATTTTTTTTACTCAATAGATGGGTTTACTTATGGTGCTGGGCTCCGTCCTCTTTATCTCTTCCGTCACATCGGCGTCAACACTCGGTAAGAATTTCCTCTATTTAACTTATTTCTAATACATAACCTAGCAGCTCACAAACGAGCTTTCTGCGGCTGAGTTGGTTGAGCCTTCGACACCTCTTCCCCTTTGGAGGTCACTGGTTCTTTGTCTCGTGCTCGTAAATATTTAACAAATCACTTGGAACCTTTGGTCATTTGAAACGTATCCTTCAAAGTTGACCACAGCTACTCAAAGTTTATTTGGTAAGCACGGTTTAAAGAAAGGTGAAGAACAATGAAAAGAAATAAAAGAAATATTAGACTTCGGAAAAACTTTAATCTTGAGTTATACCTGTTACTTTTCCATTTTACAGTGGTTTCAGAAAATGAAAATGATCATTGGTTTCTTGACTTTGTTGGAAAGGAAAGAATATCTGTTCAACCGATATCAGTCAGTCCTGTCTATTTTCCTTGTTTTGCAATCAGCTGATACCTAACTTACAAAAATATTTATCGTGCGCATAGGGGTTCAAATTCAAAGATTTTGGCAATATATTAAAAAATGGTTTGCTGTTACTGCCATCACTTTCTTAGAGATTTATATGCTAAGAGCTAAGGTGGATCTCCAAAACGTCCAATTTATTTAGTGGATGTCCTTAGACCTCTTAGCGAAAGGGATTGTATTTGATCTAATATTGAAGAGCCCTTCACCATTTTCTTTGTGTTTCAATTGATAACACTACCGCCTCGCTAGCAAGTTGTAAAAACCGTTGTCTCCAAAATTTCCAGCTTATTTGTGGGCGTTCCGAGGCCTCTTGGCAACACTGGTTTTAATGTATGTGATAAAGGCAAAGAACCTTTGAACTATTTCTTTGTGGTTTAAGTCTATCTTTTAAAAATGAGCTTCTCTTACTTTTAATTTATCACAGATCGCCTACGGCACTACAAAAGAAGTCCTAATCCGTGTCCACCAGGATGTCCCTCTTCATGTGCTCCTGCTTGTCAAGTAACGTGTTGCTCGCCTGCTCCACCACCACCGCCACCACCGCCACCGCCTCCACCACCTCCACCACCTCCACCACCACCAGGCCCGCCAGGAATGGACGGGCCCATGGGAATGCAGGGACCCCCAGGACCTGATGGACCAAAGGGACCACCAGGACCCGTCGGTCTACCTGGTCCAGTTGGACTGCCAGGGCTTCCAGGAGCTCCAGCAGGTAAGTACAGTAATTTTCTGGAAAGATCTTGTCCAAGGATCCTATCGTTTTCAGTCAGATTATGGAGGAACAACGTTTTCACATGGCAGCTCGGCTGGCATAGTGGTTACCAAAACAATCGAATAGTGGTCATGTTAGTACCCAAGTCAGTCCTCTTGGATTTGAACTCTTTTCTTTTACAAAAATAAGTGTACATCGCTGCTCACCATGTAATTGAAATGTCCTTATGTTGTTTCAATAACACTCTGGTTAATTTTCGACATTGCCTAAGGATACGGTTCCATTAGCTTACTGTCTGATCCTCGGAAAAGTCCATGATCTATGTTTTAGAAATGATTTGAACTACTGGGCCCATTCTATAATTTTGACAATTTGCCTTATCCTCTCAGGTCCACCCGGACGTGACGGACCCATGGGACCTCCAGGAGCACCCGGAAACCAAGGTCCTCCCGGAGATGGTGGACCACCCGGTAAGCTCTAAATTTTTGGGGCTAAAATAACAATCGCCTTTCAAAAACTTATTGGAAATGCATGCATAATATGTCTCATATCCTCATCATTCCTACCTCGTCCTTTACGAAAGTAAATTCAAAGGTGGAGAAGGAGAAGGGGCCATTGGGTTTTAGTAGCTTTTTACCGACACGTTAGACAACGTTGTTTGAAAAAAGATGAAGATGACGAGGCACTATTTCCACGGGATGGATGCCTTTAACTTTGTAATTCGCCATTGTTCCATCGTACCTCTTGTACCATTGTACCACTTACTCGTTTGCAATATTCCCATGAAAGTTACAAAAAGATGCAATCTCTGTAATTTATTTGCTTAATGATGTTTGTTCTACTGCCATAACAGGACCTCCTGGACTTCCTGGTGCTGCAGGACAACCGGCTCCTCCCCCCATGCCAAGCCCTTGCCCAGCTGTGTGCACCCACACATGCATTCGATCCTGTCCGCCACCATGTTGCCGTCGCTAAGTACCTGTAGACAAGTTGCGTTTGAGCGATGCTGTTGGTGTTATTAGTTTTTAGCAGTTTGAGAATGGAGTGTTCTTTTTTTTTCTCTAATAAAATGATTTGTCAAAACAAATGTGTTTGGTTATACGCCCGTGCAGCACGAAGATTATGGTTATAGAGAGATTTTAGAAAGACTTTTGTAATCGAAAAGTTAAAGACATGTTTGTACCAGAGAACCATTAGTTATTTGACGTGAACGAAAGCCATTTTGAGAGTAATAGTTGTTCCCTTTTCTTCGATACTTGTTAGATTCGTTTTTGATTGTTGTGAATACGTTAAGTCTGTGATGATAGAGACTAGGATTACAATCTTACTTAGGTTACCGTGAAATATGTAGTTTTGGGAGTCCATAGGGTGGTATGAAAGTCACACTTGTGCCATTGCCTCTCTTGTGTCTCTTACAAAGGTCTTTCATGTATGGTCAGTGACACTCACGCAGGACATTTTTCTCAGTGTTACCTGGACAGGAAACTAATTAAAATATTTACTCCAAGATTAAAAAAAAACGTTGTTTAGTTTTTTATCTCGTCGCTGATGATGTTTTCGGAGTGTCCCTCAGCACTATTGATAGAGATGTTGACAATTAAGTTAGTTTAATCCTACAATGAACGCTTTTATCATCTTGGTTTCACTTGTATGAGTTCAAAATTTTCCTCTGGGGCGCTTTACCTGCACAGTAACTTGACTACATCTGTTGCCCATGACCACCCTCTAGCTTTATGCAAGTGTATCTTTTACATCTTTGAAAATTCTTCCAGTAGTATGCACTGAGGTATCTCTAATCTACATGTGATTTAACAGATCAATTCAAAGATAATTTCAAATCTCGAAATATATTATTCATATGATGCACGATCCTCGCAGTAGATAGCGCTATTTAAGCAATAGCGCTATATTTAGCAATATATTATTCAGTTGTTGATTGGTCATGCTGTTATAAAATTGGATGGCTTATTCAATTAACTTTTACGTTTCTGAGTACAATTGGTTATGATGCAAGGAAAAACGATAGAGATATGGATTTACGATCGATACAAAAGAGCGCATTCGGTAATAAAATTCCCCTTTAAAACAAGCTGTCTCAGTTTGCTTTTAATTGACGGGCACAAAATTCTAGTTGTAAAGTAGCCTATTTCCGTTTGATTTTTTTCCCATACGCAACTGGTAATTCCCATTTAAGCCAAAATTTTTTTAACTAAGGGATCAAAGACACTACTACAAGTATGCGGTTTCTTTCAAAGTTTTCTTGCCTTGACACTATTCCTTTGTAAATGTGGATATATGCGTTATTGATCAAGCGTGAGGTCAAAATAGCTGGATATTGGCCGTTCTTTTTTTGGCGTTTTATGGACCGAAACGAAGTCGAGGTCCATAAGTAAAAATTCAAGCAAAAGCACGAAGCTAATATCCAGCCACCTCGACCGAACAAGCTTGGTCAAAAAAGGATTTTTTACATTGAAAAATATTTTGTTTTATCAAGAATCAAGAATGACTTGTTTACTTCGAGAGCCGGAAAAGAAAGCTAAATGCCTTTGTAGCAAAATAAACCCACGAGAGTCCGTGAATAACTATGAAAGGAAAACGTAAACGGCGATTATGTTTTCTTTGTTTTGACTGTCTTCTGCCACTTTTTGCACCTCCATCACCGACATTGTCCAAGAATTACGAAATTAGTACGAAATCAATTTTTTTCATGCGCGGGATCAAAGCGGGCAATTCCCAGCGGGCAAGAGGGGCACATCTTTCCGGCTCGGGTGGCCAATCAGAACCACAGGATTCGCTTCATATTGCCCACGGTGCTCCTGCGACTAAGGAACAATATGGCACTTTGGGTTATCAGGAACTGATATCCTCAGCCAAATTCCAATTTATCGTTTCTAGGGAGAGTACTAAGAGATATGCTCGCATTTCATGAATACAACAATTCTACAACGAAAATACTTTATATGATGATTGAATCCTTAATTAAACTGTAATCGGTGAAGATTACAGGAGTTGACTGCCCGGCAGCCTTCAATTCGTAATAAATACATGCATGATGAAAGAGCCTTGCACACCACAATATGCTCTTCTGCTATTTAGCTGATTCTATCTATCTCGTTGAACAAACACTACTCTCTAGCAACTGAAACCATGTTGTGACGTCCAAAGAATTACTACCAACTAATGGGTTTCCATTCTCATTGGTCTTGACATAAGAAGAAGACTTAAAGCTCTTCAAAGTAAAAATCGCACAATCTTTAGTTGAGACACAACTGTGAACGAATTCGTGGTCATGGCCAGTTTTCTTAAGGTGCTGTGAACAGAAAAAAAAATGAATCTACGTACTGCTATACAATACAATACAATACAATACAATGTTCTTTATTTCAAGAGGGTAAATAAATGATTAACCCAGTAAAGAGTTTTCTAACGCATGGTTCTCTGTAAACCCACCCATCCCACCCAGGGGAGGACATCCATCACACAGTAATCTCGTGTGTGAGAAATTAACGTCTCCTACCCCAACCCTGCAGGAGACGGGACCTCCATTTATTCGTCCCTATCCGAGAAGACTAGAATATCTAACCATTTCTTGATGTTATAGAAAGGCAGCAAATTCTTCTAAATTATTTTAAGACCCTGAGTGTTTGTCCAACCGAGGCTCGAACCTTCGACCTCCCGCACAACAGTCCAGCGCTCTATCCATTGAGCTAACCGGGAGGCGGTTAGCTCAATGGATGGGTATTACCCTCTAAGATGTCAGAGCTTTGTAGTTCTCCTATCTGGTCACTTTTTCGGGTGTTACTGAGCATTCGGAGTTTTATCAGATTATTATCAATTTATTTTTTTTCCTTCCATCTTAGAGTTGCCCTACAATTGGTAGCGAAATTGTCATACGGATCTGATCTGAAAGTGTCATGGTAAGGTTTTTAAGATTGTATATGCAGGCCTGTTTTTGAGTAACAATTTTCCTTGAGTAACTTGCATTCTCTTTTGGCACCGAAGTCTCTAAACGGTATTCATCCTTTTTGCTTCTAGTTAGAAAGTTGTTTTCCAGATGGAAATCGCCTCGTAAAGGTCATCATTGTAAAGGGATTTTTCTACCAAGGCCACGTATTTGCAGATGATATGCCATGATAACCAAAGTGGCTTGTATGGCATGTGCATGTGAGTCACATAGCAAACTTCTTACCTCAATCACCAACGATTGATTTCTAACTGCTAACACATAATTAATGTTCGCATTCAAGCGTACAGTGATAGCTCCGTTTCTGTTGGTGAGTATCGGCTGGAATTCTACCGAGGAACAAGATCATGAAAAACTTAGAAAATCTCCAGTTTAAGAGCGAGATATGAGTGGGAAGTTTCAAACGCCCAAAGTAAAAATGTGTTTTGAAGTTACTACAGTAGTTTACAAGGTCATTTGTTGGCGGACAACAGTGACCATCTCCGTGGGAGGAACACTATCATCATTCGGTTTTAGATCAGGTGATTTTCAATGGTCAAGATTTGGAAGATCATTATCAAAACGGGTTCCCTTCAGGTTCTTTTACTGATAAAATCTCTTTCAGAAGATATTCTAAGCCTTGCTTGTGCTGGTGGTTTAAAAGTTTGGCTTCTTGGCCGTGTTTCAATTGTCTGAATATATGGACCTCTTCTATGCGTAAGTTTATGTCCAATTTATTGGCTAATGATTTACAGTAAGAATGTTTGTTGGCTTAGATTTACTTTCCGCCCAAGTTTTACATTTGTGCGCGCTACTGTTTATTTCAACCATTGTAACTGTGCTAATTTCAAATATTATATTCGACTTATTTGCATGTAACGTGTAAAAACAAAGTCAACAGTTCAACTTATTACACTGATGATGATGGCATGAATAATGCCGAAACATGACTTTAAAAAGTTTCCCCATGAATCTGAAGTTTACTTAAACAGAATGATATGTAGGCGTCATTCAACGAATTTACAATTTAAGCATACTTTCTCATCAATGTGTTCGATGATTTTTCTTGGTGCACTAACCGATTTCGGCCGGAGAATCACTACAGGAGCCAGTAAAAGATACTTGATTAGGCCGGTTTGAGTTAGAGCCAAATGGGAAACCAACTCTCAGAAGATTTCCGGCCCCCTTTAATCCATTGCCGTTCTTCGCCCGGTAATAAGATTGAACTAAGTATTTCTTGGTCTTCGGGTTTCCGTTTACAACAATGAAGAAGAGCACGAAATAAACCTGTAGGAGGAAAAGATCACGAGTTTAAGGACTCGGAGACTAATGACTCGCACAAATACATGGAAAATGAAAGAATATTTGGAAACAAAAATCCACCAATTGAAAGTGATAAAGAAGGATAAATTTGTGTTGGATTATTTTTGATGATCTTGTAAAACACATACTACGACACAGCTTTTGTGGCTTAGCTCCCTAAAACTTGGAATTTATGCGCACCATTAAGAACAGAGTGGGTTAAGAGGGGTAAATTCTGCTTAGCTATGCAACAAAATCCGCTTTGCTTACTTTGTAGGTTAAACAAGATTGACTAAAAATTGGCAAAGCGAGCGATCTACAAACACAAATATGTAAGTAATAACGCTTCCTCAGTTAAAATTAACGAAATCCCCGAAACAAATTACTCTTGAGATGATCTCTTTAAATATCTAGAATGGCAATTTCATAGAGCTTCGGCCATAACAGAAACCGGCGTACACATTATCTGAAACTGTAAGGTTTTATGCACTGTATATTTTTTTTCAGTTCCTTAGTCCTTGGCTGTCATCGACACGTTCACAAAACAAACAGGCCTTTCCATCCTTTCTACTGGGTTTTCTTTGATTTTGAAATAATGTTTTCATATCTGAAAGCAAACGAGTAGAAACATCCAAAATGGTGTTATTTGAGGTACTTGTAGATTACGGAGTTGTATTTAAATGCAACTTCGAAATCTTGGGCACTGCTTTTGGAACGAAAGATGGCTTTCGAAGTATGTTTATCAGTGATAAACAAGCGTCATAAACAGCAGAAACCTAAATTTATTTTTATCCCTCTCTGCCGAATTTCTTGCAACATCAGTAGGATTTCTCACGCGCTCATTGGTCGAGAGGCATCGTCAGGCTTTGCCCATGAGCTCATCACGCTTTGAAAGCACACGGCGAGTTTGCACTTTGATCGAAGAATAATACATTTATCTTTTGTTTCGTTTTACTCGCTACAACTTCCCCGTTAAGTTCTCTAATGATGAATCGTGGACTGACGCAATGGCAGTGAGGCATTTCTCAAATCAGTGATACCGATTTGAAAATGGGTTTGAATCGACTAAATGCCAAGACAGTGCTAGTGAACTGTTGATAAACTGCCAGCCTGAATTGGGTCCAAGAGTTTACCAAAAGTCAGGTTTTGCAAATCACGTGTTTTGTTGCAAACAAGATCGAGTTGTTTCCACAGAGGCTTGCAGCATGTGGTCTATAACGCAAAATCAGGCCACACTAACTCACACGCCAAACTTGCTCTTTCGTCGATCTCTTAATACAGGAAAGCCAACTATTTTTTCGATGGAAATTATCTAAATTCAATAATGAAATAGCCAGTATCAATTTTTAAGTTGTATAAGACTATTTTCTTTTCATCAAGACCAGTTGTATTGATCCTCCGTGTCCTTTAGACCATCTCAGTAGTTGTTTTCATTTGATAACAGTCACAGTTATTCCTTATTTAAAATGAATGAGGCTATTAGATTTTACAGTTACAAAAGGTACTTGCTCCGTTTCTGGTCTTGCTTAAGATTGGAAATGACAGCACATTTTATTGAGTCTACAGCCAGTTGCGTCAAACAACCCTTAACTGAGGTCATCAGTGTATGCTCATTGAAACCTCTAGATAAATTTGTAGCATGCTTGATGTTGTCGTTAATTGTAAATAAAATATTGAAAACATCACCTTCCATTTAGGCGCACATGCCAACCCAGTTTTGCCTCTTCGCGGTTCAGCCTAAGGAGAATTCCCATACAGTAAATTCTCTCCTATGCCTTACAATCTCATCTCGATTGTGAGCTGCCACGTTCAATTTCCTCAATAATTTCATTACCTTCATAACGCCCTTTATTGGTAGTTTTATTGTATTATGTTTTCTATGCGATCATGTTCCTACTAACACTGCACGAAAATTAGGGAATACTGCACTTAACATGAATCGTTTGCTGGAATCATGTTATTCTTTGCATTGATGTTTTGGTGTCATTTGCTCGACACAGTTGATTAATAGAAGTGCTGTACAAACAAGGATGACTCTTATCCGAAGTGGAACTAGATCCTTACATGGCCTAGCATGATCATATATCTCGCCCATTATCCTCTCACATGGAGAGCCCTAATCTGGTTCATATGTTACATCGTTAAATAGGTTCTCCATTATAGACCCCCTCTGATTAGGAGATACCGTCTGTCTCAAAAATATCACCCGTACAATTATACTTTTTTACTTTTTTGTATCATCTAGCACGTCATAAGAGAGAGTGGAGACAAAAGCCGGCTGGCTGCCTCGACGAAGGCCACAATAAAACTACTGTTAAGTGATTCTCCGGCTCTGAATGGGCGTGGTTTATATTTTTATGACTCTAGGTCAGCAATATTGTTGTAGTGGAGATTCTGTGACACATACGAGCGCTACTCCTGTACCTTGGGAAATTTTGAAAGGGAAGGTATGTATCAGTTGGATTGATACTGAAACAAATCCACATTCAGGCACTTACCCTCTCCATGCCCTTAAAAGAATTTCACCGGCTGATTCTGATCGTTCCCGCAATTGTGACCCAACTCTACTTAAATATCAAAACATCACTGCAGCTCTTTCGACAGATGACACGTTCCTAAGTTTCCCAAACAAGCATACATTCTCAGATAGACCATTTCAAAATAATGGCTTGCGGTTGTGCTATTTCTGGGTAGTCTAATGATTTGCTACTTGTCTGCCATCACTTTGCAGTCAATTAATTAGCATCCAGAATAAGTTATTCCAGCTTTTCCCCCAACGATAGCTGAAGCACCTACCTTTCGCATAAAGCTGGGTTTTTCTACCTTCAAGAACTTCTTCATCGTAATAAAAGGAAAAACTGAGTAAAGTGAGTACTGTTGTTTACCGTTCTTTGAGCTTAAATTAGATGCTTGGGAGTTTTCCAACTCCCACGCAAACAAACAACCGATGAATTAGATATATATATCTTTGTTTGGTACGAGACGTTCTTGGACGGACTGTCGCCCCTGTATCTTCTAAGGAAGAAGCAGGATTGATAGTGATCTGAGCTGTTAACTTTAACCTCTCTGCTCTTAATCTGATATAATTAATGTTAAATGCTCATAAAGATTGTGTTTACGCTGCATCTAAGCTTGTTAACCTGTTAGGCTAATGTAGTTAAGATGCCTTATATCAGATATACTTAGAAAGCCGTTTTCGAATTCCTTCCTCTCTTCGATAGTGTTGATTGGCCGCTTCCTGTTTTTTTTTTTTAAAGCAAGAATCACAGAATGACGCTTGTTTGCTATACAGCTTCCCTTCAGTTGGTAAAACGAGGGCTATAACTTTTGTTGCTGTTGTCAGGACCTGTGCATGTATCCTCATGGTTTCCAGTTACCACCATTTAATGCGAGGCTGACTGCACTTGTCTTCACAACGCCTGTTGTCCAAAGATCACAAGAAGCTGCCATTTTATGGTTGGAAAGGTTTGAAGAATTCAAGGATAGAAAAATGACGCTCTTATCACGGGATAAGAAGACAAAAAAAAAAAAAAAAAAAAAAAAAAAAAAAACAACACTAACACTCGTCAGGCACGCTCTGCATGTGATAATTAAAGCACCTTTAACCTTGCATCACCGAAAATCTTTCGAGATAACACCTCCCTGTTCTTTAGTTGCCACGCGCCCCTGCCGTAGCTGCACGCGATGTCTACGAAAATAACTTAAATATTGTCTTTCACTTGTGCATCAAATATTCAATTCAATTTGCGTTTGGGTCATTGTCGAAAAAAAAAAGAATAACACATTTTCGAAAAAACTTCTATTTGGAATATACATTGCATGCAGGCAGTTCACATTTTGTTTATGGACAGAGCATAACAAAATTAATTATATCATTTCCGTTGCATGTGCATATGAGTGACGGCAGTTTGACGGCAGTTTGATGGCAGTTTGATGGCAGTTTGAGTTTAATATTGACCACAATTAGACATGATAAGGGTCAGGTAAATTATGCCAGCATAATTGTGGGCATAATGCTATAGTCAGAGCATAATGCTGGCATAATTCTGTAGTCTGAGTACTGTTAACAGTGAGCTTGCCAATATTTTCGCTGTTTTCCTGATAAAATCAATAACCTATTAAACAGTGTACTAAGAATAGCGTTTATTGTCAATGATTTGTGCTACGTAAACGCAATTGTCAAGATGATTTCATATGGTGCAGTAACCGTTACAGCACTCTTCAAATCGGTGGCAGCGTTTTGAAGAGGCATTAGTGTAGCTGAGTACAGATAAATGTATCCTTTGATGCTAATTGTAAGTGTTAGATTGAAGAACTGGCCAATGATACCATTAAACGCACTAGAACAGCAATTCCAAGTTAAATTCCTTACCTAATTATCAGTTTATCTTGGAGAGACAGCTTGCCATTTTTCTACTAGGGTTAAGGAACATCTGCTATCACAAAAGCTGTCATATTAACAAACACTTGTGTTCTTTTCCAAGTTGTATGAAAAAATGTTCAGCTGATTAAGTTAAGCTTTTAGACTCAGCCAAAACAACTTTGTCGTGAATCTGAAATTTATTTTAATTCCAAGTTAACTTTGAGTCAGTCGCCCTTTGAGAAGTAGATGTAAAATTCTCCTCATAAACTGATTATCAGGTTTGATGAAGAAAGTCGTAATTTGTTTCTTAAAACAATTTAAAATTGTCCAATGCATGACAATCATGCATAGTGTTGTTTAAGTACGCTGTGACAACAAGCAGAACTACATGTTGCATCACCAAACTTATATTGTATTCTTTGACTAAAATACTACCTTGCTTAGGAAAAAAAATGGATGTTCGGATCACGTTATAGATGACTAATAAGTTGGACCATATCTGTTGACAAATTTGATGTGACTTTCCTATGAAAGCCCTTAGCATCGAACTCAATTTGCTTTAATAGTCTTTCCTCCCAATCAACTCTCTCCAAGTTACTTGAGTAGTCCAAGAACGTCCGCCTCCTCAGTGTCTTGGGGAGATTTTTCGTATCAACATTATCGAGTCTAATTAGCAAGAGAGATGAATCAGCCATTTCTGCAGAACGGTGCATCGCAATTTCTAATTCTTCACGGCAGAAGTTGCTGTCAAGATAATTTCGCGAAATGATCGCTAGTACCTTTCTGCTATTATAAACACTGTCTGCCATGTTCTCGATTATGGCCTTTCCAACGATGAAGTCCCGGCTGTGAATACAGTAATTGATTCGCTTGCTCTCCAAAACAGGTGTGAGGTTGTCTCTCACCCAATAGTAGTCGAGGGTACTGAAGCTGATAAAGACGTCGTACTGGAATTCCTTTAATGTAGTTTCGTCTGAGGAGGGAACGCAAAACAAGATGATAAGTATTTATTATGGTCCTTGGGATGTTTTCTTTTATACAACAACGACATAAACAAAAAACAGTCAAAAAAAATTACGGAAAAATAGACTATGGTGCAAAAAGTTAGTTAACTCAACACTTGCGTCTCTGATGCTTTCTTCTCTTCCTCCACTGTCGATAAACGATAGCAGCCGTCAGTAGACCGCAAAATGTCCCGGCGCCCACCAGCAAGAACTCTGTCAAAGAATTTTTACTTTGCCGATCCCGAGAATCTTTGGCTTCATCTTGATGAAGGAGCCAAACAAAACGAAGGATCAGCACATTCCAAAGAAACAATAATAGGTGGAACCACAAGAGCATCAAAGCTTCGGAAGCTGCTATATCATAGGTTATCGCCCTCCCCCCCCCACCCCAAACACCTTATTAAGTTTTTCTCACAGTTTGTCGATCGATACCCATTCATACTCTCGTGCGAAGAGAGGCACTATAAATGTATGTTGTCTTTTACAAGAACATTGTACAACCACCCGCCACTTCCCGAATGGGGTCATCTCGACCCGGACAAACCGTTAGGCCATTGTGTCTCTTTAAGAGGATATAAATACACTACTTTAACGTTACAAGTTGCACATACTCACTTGATTCAACAACACTCAAGTATATTGTGCCATAGTCGCTTCCTCTTAGAGTACGGACCTTACACTGATATGCCCCGGTATCCTGCTCCGTGACGTTCTTTATTAGTAATGAGAAATTAACTTTTGGAATGGACTGCTCATCAAAAAAGAAGTTTGATTCATGGTGCAGTCTATGGTTACCGTCCAGTGGCAAATCCTTTCCTTCGAACGCCCAGGAGATAAATGTAATTGAATTTGGGGTATTTTCTCCCACACACGTCAATAACGCATTGCCACTTTTCTGAATGATTACTTTATCGATAGATGCGTAGGGATGGACTTTTGGTGGAACATTTTCCGAGCCTTTAAACAAAAGAAAATAATTAAAACTGATCATTTAGCCGCTCAAAAAGTTTTAAAGGGGGTACGTTTCTACAGAAAACTGTCGGTGAGGGGCATTACAAGACAACTTGGTTTCATCGGCTGAGTTGATAATGCAAATTGGCCACCGTAAAGAGTTTCTGGGCTGACGTTTCGAGCGTTAGTTCTCAGTGGAAGAGAAAAATGATGAAACTCTTTAGAGTGGTCAATTTACATTATGACCTCAGCAGAGTAAAACCAAACTAGCTCAGAAAGTTTTAGTGTAGAATGATATTATACTTGCGACCTTAAGAACCCCATCAGGTCTGGATTTTTCAGTTAGTTTGAAACAAATTATTAAGCACATAAAACAAGGTTGTTCTTAATTGCTCCATGGATTATATTGGCAAAAAAGGGTCTCGTTTTAGTGTTTGCAGTCTGTGAGGATGGAACTGTTAGAAAAAAGAAGATATTAACAAGGCTATTCATTACAGAGGAGTGGCAAAAGCCATAGAGTCCTAAAGTGTGACGTCACGTTACCATGGCGCTAAAATATAGGGTTCTAAACAACTCTGATTAACTCTTGCGCGTGGATCACGTAGTCCTTGTTATCGCTTTGTCCTGAGGTCAAAACCCTTCTTAACCCTGTGTTTTGCAACAGAAAACGCCACAAGGAAGAATAGAGGGTAAAAAGGTCAATGAAAATTTCAAATTGATCGCTTTTGTGATCAGAGGTAATTCTAAACGGACGGAAATGGTATACTGCTTCGCCCCATCGTGCAACCATTCATCGGAGAGCCATATACTTGCAAGTACTTCAAATTTCCGAGCGCAGAAAAGGAAAAAAGCGAATACAAACGATGAATCCGTCTGATAAGGTTAGTAACTGTATTCATCGTTCGCTTGAAAGCAATATAACATACGGCTGTTTTGAGCGAATGTGCTCTTTTTACCGACTCAAGTGAATGTAGAGGCGACGAATGTCTGTACAATTGCATGCACTGTTTTTTCATAATAATTATTTTAGTTTGTGAGTGCTTTAATTACTATATTTTTTAGTCTTACATTTTGCTTTACGTTGCATTACGAACCTTGAAAAAGCTTGGATAGAACTGCGAAATGAACACGCATTTGTTTTCATTGTGCATAAGTAAAAATGTTTAAGCTTATGTGTAAACATCAAGCTTATAATCTGAAGTAAATCTCACATGAGATCTTAAATTAAATGGCTAAGTCTAACTTCTCGTTTTAGAGGAGAGAAGACAGAATGCCGGGCAAGCACTCAAGGGTGTGTAGCTGTCATTTTAGAGAGGGCAAGGAGTCCAATGGCCCAGAAATGTTTGAGCGGAACAAAGAGAAATTATTCGATGAGCAAAGGGGACCTCCTCCGACGAAAAAGAAGATTGTGTCTACGGAGAAGACTTTGGCCGAGTTGGTAGAACAGGCTCAAAGAAATAAACCATCATCTGTTGAAACAAACTGAAAACAGAAACAGCTGAAACAGCTACCTATAAATCCGCACATTATCAATTGGTATCATAGTTTCCTCTATGCAAGACAACAACGTGTTGTTAGTTATAATTTTTTAGGACAGTGGAAATCTATCAATAGAGGAACCACACAAGGTAGTGTAAGCGGACCGTATCTTTTTAATATATTTTTGAACGATTGGGAGATTTTTTTTAATGGTTGCCCTGTGCTTTTTAAATATGCCGATGATTCCACTATTCTTTCGCGTATCACTGGGAATAGAGACCCGTCTGCCGACTTAGTAGGACAGTTCTTAACATGGTGTAAAGACAGTAGAATGGTCTGCAACCCTTGCAAATGTAAAGAGCTGGTTGTTAGAAAGAAAAATCATAATGTANAATCGCAAAGGTATATCCTATCACGGCAGATGTGCATGTCCATATATTAAAAATACAAATATCATGGTGCGAGTAGGAAAGAGTAAAAATTTGTAACTATTTTATTCCCAAAAGTAGTTTAAGGATAATTTCTCCTTAAACTACTTTTGGGAATAAAAAAGCTACAATTACTCTGTCCTATTTGGGGAATTACAGAAATTACAATTCTCCTTCAACTACTTTTGGGAATAAATGGTCATTGTAAAATTGAGTTAAGCGTGGGATGTTTCTTGCCCAAGTGTCGTCCCTTTGTATGAGTAAAATAGCTACATCTTTTGTAGTCCACACAACAAAATAACAAAACTTTCTACGTGAAAAGTAGATTTCTCCCTGTACTTGGTGCCAGTACACATGGTCTTTCTTCAATACATAACCCTGCCCACTTTCACTCTTTTCCAGGGAAAATGTTTTTGATTTAACAGCCTCTTCTATTGTAACGTTTCGTTCTGTGTACGGACACTTCACGTCTAAAACAGTTTCATCATCAACAATACCATCCGGGGATGTTCCAAGGATTCCAGAAGAATCGAACCAAATACCAGTTTCTTTTACCTATTTTCCTGTTCTGAGGATGAATGCACTAATGGCTTCCCCTTCATTGTCCACTCCCCACTGGATCGCTTTAACTCTCGACAAATCATATTCTCCGAGAAGACGTTTCAGTAGTGAAGGGGTGATTCTTTTCGCATGAAGGATGGAGCCAAAGTTACTGGCGCTAAGTCAGCCCCTTCTTGTGATATGCCACTGAAGCAGGGTTGTTTCTTTGGCCAACTGTTGTCTCGCTAATCCTTACGATTTTTTCCTCGTCTAGCCTGGAACTGCAAACCAAACAATCCAACTGCTCTTGAATTCCTCTTGCTCGAAGAAATTCGTCAGAATAATTAATTTCCTCGATAGAAGGCATAGGCAGCTTACTGGCGACAGGTGGCTCAGGGCTGAGCAGCCAGCAAACTCCAGTAAAATTTCCATAGTTCTTCAGATCTTCATAGAATGCGGAACGATCGGCTTGAGTCGGCGCCCTCGACAAAGCACAGTAACGTTTTGGTGGAGGGAACAGTTCAGAAACCGCTTGATTTGAGAGTGATGTGTGGGATTTTCTCTTCCTCCACTGGCATTCCACTTCTGTACGGCTTAGAAGGTAGATCCCCTGAATGAAAAGGGCGGCCGCGTGACTACATTTGAACGCTCCTCTTGGACATTCGCATTCGGTTTTTTTATGTCTTGTTGTTCATCCAAGTAAATCTGCATGTTTAAAAGAAAGGATTTTTCGTATGGCAAACAAGTTTATTAGGTGAAAAAAGTTGTGGAAAGAAGGCCAACCTGTGATATTAATTAAATGTCGGAACAACTCTCGTAAGAGTAACTCACCGTGACTTTGTAAACCTTCTTTTTCATACTTGCTTGAACTTCTCCTCGCAAAATTCCCTCATGATAGCTAAATGACTCCACATGTTCAGACTTATAATGATTTTCTCCCTTCTTTATGGATTTCTTTTCGTCTGAAAAATAGGAAAGCTGCGACGCGATAGAAAGCGTCGCCATTCTGAAAAGGAATGCGAGTTTGTTTAGAACCGAATTTTTCGGCCGTAACGTCATCGCTTTAGGACTCTATTTATGAGAGTTGCGGTGGCTACAAGATAAAGTATCAAATAATTCCATCATTAAGAATGAAGAAATTATTGTTATAACGTACCTACATAAATCATAGAATACATGCGCAGTACTGCTCTAGATGGTGTTTCCATCAAACACTTTAGATCCTCAATGGACACCTTTTGACCAATAAAGCAAGATAGATAAACCTGAATTTCTTACTTTTAACAGAAAGGTTGACTTCATGTCGTTTCTCGCCAAATTTATTCTTTGCCACACATGTGTATCGTCCCTCATGGTTTTTCTGTCGGACGTAAAATATCTTTAAATCCAGACCGCTGTTTCTTGTCGTTAGCGCGTAAGAATGATTACCGTCACCATCCTTTATTACCACTTCATCTTTGAGCCAAGTGAAGGATGGTTTCGGCCAGCCTCTTGCGTAGCAATGGAAGACAGGATCTTGACCTTCAGACAAATACTGCGGGGTTGTGGTGAAGAATCCTCTTCTTTTCATGAAATGTGGTGGGGCTGGACGAGAAACGATAAATAAAGTGTTGGAAACAGTGAAGAAATTGAGTTTTGCAGAACACTACTTGAAAGTATTTATGGTCAAATATCCATGCAATCAATAGAGAAAAATAGAGAAAAATAAAGATGTAAACTTACAGTTAACATGGAGAACTACTGAACATATACTAGTTCCATTGTCCTTTGGCAACTCGCATTTATATGTTCCATGATCCTTTGCGCTGATATTGCTTATTTGAACACTCGACCAGAAACCTGGTACTGATTCGGATGGTAATATGGAAACCCACTGAAGTTTGCTTCCATTGTCTTCTTTGCTCCATGTAATCTGTCTCATTGGTCCCCCCCGGAGGACAGAGCAGTTGAGTAACACTGTGTCCTGGAGATTCACAGTTACCTCTCTCCCAAAAAAGGCTTGTTTACGTATATTGCAAAGGATTTCGCCTTGCTGTAGAGCTAACAGAAAAGGGAAAGAACATGATGGAAAACCTCAAGTTTAAGGGCCCATTTCGTTTGTTTAGACAATAGAACATTTTTTTAACTTTAATTTTTTTTTTGCTTCGGCCAGACCATTAGTTGTTTTTCTAATGCAAAAAAAAAAAAAAATCTCATAGAATTTTTTCACACAACAAAATAATATTCACCAAAGCGCTTGAGCTTGTAACTTGTGATTTACGGAGAATAAATCTTACTAATGTTTATTCATAACAGTAATGCATGCGAGGAAATATCCCTTAAGCACCATCCTCTCTGGTGCTTTGGCAAAATATCATTATCATTTTTTAAGTTAGATGTTATTGACGTGCTTTTGTTTAAAATTTGATCTCGGTATTGCAGAAACCAACACAGCTGCTTTTAGATCTTTCTTTTCGGATATTTTAGTCTTCTCCAGTATTTTGTCAAAATAATTCTCAAATTTGTCTGAGAGCCCCGGGTAGAAATCTGTTGCATATCGTTTGCGAGTCTTCCGAGTGGCTGAAGGTGTCAAGGTCAACTTGAGAGCTGTTGCTCTGTCCAGTACACATCTTTTTAAAAGGAAATCAAGCTAAGCCAGTCAAAACACCTAAGCCATATATTTGGAGTCTGCTTCAAGTCGCCAATTATGTCTGAAAACAGTTTCCTAAAAACAAGCTATCAAGTCCATAATATTTTTTATTTTCATGAGCACTGAAACAAAATACTGCAGCAGATGTTTTTCAAGTTCAGACGTTTTCATTTAAATTTAACGATCAGTGTCGAATCACAACCCACGATTGTGTTAAGTTACAACTTTTGGACTGTGGAATACACCGCCATTCATTTAAAGCCCAACAATATTCTGGATGTATCATGAAATATGTTATTTATGCCTTCTTGTCAGCGGAAAAAATTAAAATTAAGAAAACAAACTTTAAATCAGGGCTAATGCTTTCACTTTCCCTTTTTTCACCAACTCAAGCTGCATTAGTAAGACATTTCCAACTCTGCTTAGTTATATACACTACACCAACTCCATCTTTGCAAACAAAATACAGCATCGAATAATTACATACACTTACTTTAGCATTATTTCTTTTGCATTAGACTTAAAATTTGTAAATTTGCATAGCTCTAAGATCAAAACTGATCACTGGAATTTAATGGATCCGGTTATAATCTTGATTAAACTTTCTCCCCAAAATTTGTTTCTTGGAAAATTTACACGGGCTAAAAAAAAAACAATATTTGCAACAAGGCAAAGCCGTTACTTTTCTCAGTAAACATTTGTAATGAGTTTTAAGGTTTGTAATATCTAAGGAAAAAACATTGATCGATTATTTGAAACACATCTTTGACGAAAATAAAATGAGGCGAGAAACTGAGTTGTTTCTCGAATATGAGTAAAGTCAAGTTGGAATGATAACATACACATACATTTTTATTTCCTTGGAAGAAATTACTATGCGGAAAAGTAACTAACAAAATGGGAAGTACATAAGCGACGCTTCACTTACCACTGCAGATAGTCCCAATGACAGCTCCACATAAGATGAACCTTTTGACGGGAAATGAGCCCATAGATACTTCAACTTTTCTTCCAAACCGTAGATGCAACTATCCTGTCGAAAATATTCCCGACTTCTACAAAGGAAGGAAAAAAAACCTTCCCTTTCATGTAGAGGCGATTGATATCGTGTCTTTCCTATTAGCAAATTTTCCTAATAAGGTATGAATATGATAAACGTAATCAAACAATATTCGTCGGCAAATCTGTAATCTTGGGTTTTTTTAAGTTCCGACCTTTTCCCGGCTGTGCACTCCGGGGAATTACATTACTGCGTTAATTATTTTCATTCGAAAACGGGCTCTTCAAGGAAAGTGACAAAATGACTGAAGTCATGAATTTCGCTTGATTTTGTTCATAGAATTATCAGCTAATTTGGCTCGACGAAATGCATTTTTAAGAAAACATATCTGTCAATTTCTCATCCAAATGAAATTTACTTTAGACATGTTATTTATGCGCACAAATAAAAATGGTTAGCTATGGTTAAATTGGCCAGTGCCAACACCATACTTGATTTTGAACGCATTCATCCCTAAGGATATTTCCTTTGTAAGATATCCGTGATCAATTAACCATTGGTTCTGTGTTGATGGGTAGATATACAAAGATTGTCAGAGGAGAAAAATGAACGGAAATTTGTTACGCTGAAATTATTTGCTTAGTAAAAAACCTGCCGAAAGACTAAAGGGACATGTGCCCAAAGAGAGAACAAGGCAAATTAAACGCATTTATCTTGCGATCCCACGCAGTGAATTTAATGCGGGAGATTCAATTTAATCACCTGTTCAGATGCTAAATCGATATTTTTCGCGTGTTTTGAATAAAAGTAGAGGTCAGAAGAGGCTAAATAGTGAAATAACCAACTTATGGTTTGTCGCCAAATCACAACAGCCAAGTTGAAAAACAAGCATGTAATCAGCCCATCATAAAATGAATTTCATTCGCACTTTATCTTTACATTGGTTGACAAGAGATTGCTTACTTCTTTATTTTTTTCTATGTAAAAGCGGGTTTACGGAGAAGCTCGTCAAAACACGACGACCTAAACATGCATTGTTTTTGCTTTATTCAGTTTCTCAAAGATTTAAAAATATAATCTGAATTTATTTTTTTTTTAGAAATTTAATAACGTCGACCGAAATTGCAATGAAAATGTTATCTGATTTCCAAAGCGATCGCCTCAACCGATCTACCAAATTTAAAACAAATAGTAAACTTCCGCGAAACTCAAGAGTTTTGTTCTTTGAATTGCATGAAAACTGACCAAGGCCTCGACGAAGGGCTAACACTCCAACATCAGCTTAATTTTTC